ACTGTGAGTCAGATACAGCACAGGCCCTTGACACAGATACACTTAGACACAGTTGTCACAAATATTCAAAGAGCACAGGAAAAGTTAAAGATCACACAAAATGAAGAAAAATACTAACACAAAATATTTTAGAATGGAGGAAGCATGGTAAGCCTACATGAAGACTAAACAGCACTTCTATGGACTCTCTGCTCCAGCCACAATTCTGTGAAGCAAGGACCACACCACATGGAAAACAACCAACCATACCTGCTGATGCAAAGTACTCCAAAGCCTCCTGGGCAGGCCCATGGAACATGAGTTTCCCTGAGGCCAATAAGGTGAGGCTGTCGAACAACTTAAAGATGGAATACCGAGGCTGATGAATGGAGAAGATGATTGTTCGACCCTGTTTAGACATTCTAAATTATAAGAAGAAAATAATGAGTCATTAAGCTTCTCATTGTTACATTTATTGTTAAAATTACTTTATTCCTGCTGTTAGAACACCTGTCTCAATTTCAATTTGATTTTCTCACATATACATATTGAATCAGCTCATCTCAAGGTATCTGAGTGATATCTAGGGAAATGAATCTTGGTGCTTTTATTAAAAACTAGGGCATCTGGGAGTATTGCAACCTTGGAGATCAGTTGTAAATAAAGTGCTTAGCATGTTCGAGGCCTTGGACTTAATCCTTAGAAACAAACAAACAAAAACCCCAAACAAACAAATTCAGCCATAATTTCGTAAGGAGCCAGGGCAGACAAAGTGCACTAGAATGTTTATTGACAAATGCAAACACTGAAACAGTTTTCACAGACACTGAGTCAGAATCTGTAGCTGGAAGTTTTCCTGTCCTGCCCAGTCCACAGCTGCTCAAACCCAAGTAAACACACAGAGGCTTATGTTAATTAAAACTGCTCGGCCATTAGCTCAGGGTAACTACTGACTAGCTCTTACACTTAAACTCAGCCCATTTCTGTTATTCTATATGTTGCCATGTGTTCCATGGCTCTACCTGTGTGCCATTACATGCTGCTCCCTGGACAGCAGGCTGGCATCTCCTCACTCAGCCTTCTTCTTCCCAAAATTCTCCTTGTCTGCTTATCCCACCTATACTTCTTGCCTGGCTACTGGCCAATTACCATTTTATTAAACCGGTGTACAAAAGCATTATCCCACAGCAAGAATCTCTGGGAGAATGTACACACACACACACACACACACACACACACACACACACACACACACACACGGAAGGTAAAGAAAGGCTTTTATTAAGGTGAGGAAACACATGCACATACAGCAGGGTACACAGAGGGATCCTCTGCTTAGGAATGTGGATGCCAAACCCTGGCCTCTCACTGAGGACTGGGAGTTTCAAAGGATGTTTGAGGGGACTGTTCCCCCCATTGAGGGTTGGCCAGTTGGAACAGAATCAGGGAAGCTAATAGGTCCACAAGTTTGGGGTAAACACATCCTGGTTTGGTTTTGAACTTGTCACAATGGTCCATAGGCAGGGGATGGGGAGGGTTACAGGTAGGGGGCATTACTGGAGGGAGTGAAAGCTAGCAGGCCTTTGTCTTAAGCTGTCAGTCTTCTGTCAGGAACTCTAAGAGCCAGAAGGCAACAGGAGCTACCAGGAGGAGCAGAGCTGTGTTGAGGCCTGATCCACAAAGCAGATCTGGGGACTAGGGATAGTGGAACGATCATATCCTCAAGGAGTCCCCAGTGAAGACTCCAGGACCGCACTTTGACCTACACAAGCATAATCATTTACCAGACTGCAGATGGTAAGTTTCCACAGCAGGGCTTGAAAAGACTGGCTTCCTTTTTTAAGCTACCAGTCCGTGGTGTTTTCTTTTAACTGCACCCTACCTAATATGTGCTGCCCTAAGGTAACTAGGTTCTCCTGTCTATTTAATGTTCCAGACATATCAGGCATCTTCTGCCTTGGGGCCACTGGCTGTTCCCTTCAGCCAGATTCTGTTGCTAGATACATCTAGATTTCACTCCCAGGTCCTATGACCATGTACCAGATCCTCCTTGACCTTCCTGCTATTTAAAACAGCAACCCAGGATGATATTTTCTAGTTCCATACATTTGCCTGCAAATTTCATGATGTCATTGTTTTTTTTTCACTGCTGAGTAGTATTCCATTGTGTATATGTACCACATTTTCTTTATTCATTCTTCAGCTGAGGGGCATCTAGGTTGTTTCCAGGTTCTGTCTATTATGAATACTGCTGCTATGAACACAGGTGAGCAAGTGTCCTTGTGGTATGATTGAGCATTCCTTGAGTATACGCCCAAGAGTGATATCGCTGGGTCTTGAGAGTGAGGTAACCCAGACTCAGAAAGACAAATATTGTATGTACTCACTCATAAGTGGATACTATATGTAAAGCAAAGGATAACCAGGCTACAACATACAGAGAAGCTAGCTAACAAGGAGGACCCTAAGAGGGATGCATGGATCACCCTGAGAAGGGGAAATAGATGGGATCTCCTGAGTAAACTGGGGTTGAGGGGGAGAAATAGAGGATAGGGGATGGAGGATGAGAACATAAGGGAATGGGATGGCCAAGATGGAATCCAACAAGGATGACCCCAACTTAGACTACTAGCAATGGTTGAAAGGGTGACTGAGCTGGCCTATCCCAGTAATCAGATTGGTGAATATCCTAACTGTCATAGAGCCTTCAACCAATAAATGATGGAAGCAGATACAGAGATCCACAGCCAAGCACCAGGCTGAGATCCAGGAGTCCAGTCAAAGAGAGAAAAGAGGGATTCTATGAGCAAGGGCCATCAGGATCATGATGGGGAAACCTACAGAGACAACTGAACCAAACTAGTGGGAACTCATGAACTTTGGACCCACAGCTGTGGAGCCTGCATGGGACTGGACTAGGCCCTCTCCATAAACAAGACAGTTGTGTAGCTTGGTCTGTTTATGGGGCCCCTGGCAGTGGGATCAGGATCTATCCTAGGTGCATGAGCTGACTTTTTGGAGCTCATTACCTATGGACACCTTGCCCAGCCTTGATGCAGGAGTAGGGGCTTGGACCTGCCTCAGCTGAATGTACCAGGCTCTGCTGACTCCCCATGGGAGGTTTTACCTTTTTGGAGGAGGGAATGGGGGATAGGCTGGGGGGAAGGCTGGGAGGGAGCGGGAGGAGGGATGAGAGGGGGATCTGTGATTGGTATGTAAAATGAATAAAAAATTCCTTAATAAAGAAAAAACAAATAAAACAGCAACTCAGCGCCATCACAGCTATCGTCCCCCATACTTATTTAATCTTTCCTAATATCACTTCTTTCCCTTTAACAAAATAGGAGAAGATTGTTTACTTCTGAACCTCCTGCACAAAGAACACCAGCCACACATAAGCGACCAGATATGAAGAACATGAAGGATCAGTGCTCTTACAGCATTTACCTTTTCAGGAGCAGAAGGACAGCATTTGCTGTGCTGGAGTCCAGACCAGTTGTGGGCTCGTCCAGGAAGAGGATGGAAGGGTCAGTGATCAGCTCCATTCCTATGCTTGTCCGCTTTCTTTCTCCTCCAGAGACACCACGGGTGAACTGGGTTCCCACCTAAAGCAAGTGTCACCTTTATCAATGAGAGTGAACACGGTTGCCATCATTGGGTAGACAGACCCGTGCAGCCCTAACGGTCTCTGAACTGTCTCCAGAAGTGTCTTGTAAGCGCATGCTCTACCACCTGTGTAGTGGGTAGCCATTCCAGCTTTAATCTGGAAGTTCCAACCCCCATTGAGGCTTCGGCAACTATCACGCCTACAGGGCGGGGCCAAGGGAGGATGGAGACCCGAGACCGGGATGGGCCAGCTCGCTCTCTGTTCCTGGACCCTGGGCGGTGGAGGTTGACTGAGCAGAGCTCCAGAGAACACCACTGGACTGCGATACACCTTTCCCAGACCCCGCAACCTACCTACCCCCTTCATTTGTAAGTTACCCACTAAATAAATCTTCCTTTTAACTATGTGGAGTGGCCTTAATAATTTCACCAATACACCTGTCCCTGGTAGAGACACTATCTTATGATCATCACTACACTGAAGATTATCGGTTTACTAATAGCAAAATGCCTGGGAAGAGGCTTTTTTTTTTCTTTTTCTTTTTTCTTTTTTAATCAGATGGGTAAACTAAGGCTGTGGTTAGAACTGCAAGGTGGCCTGATATGAAATGGAGCCCATAGTTTTCATAGTTTGTTGTTCCTCAGAAGCCATCCAATTTATTTTTTGAGACAGTGTTTCCCACTGACTGGGGGCTCAACAAGTTGGCCAGGTTTCGGGAGTCCACCTGTCCCTGCCACCCGGTACTAAAATCACAACGTGCACCACCATGTGAGGCTTGTTTTCCATGGGCTCTGGTGCCTGAAGTCAGGTCCTCATGCAGATTACCAACTGAGCTAGTCCTTCAGCTTACACTTTGTTTTAAGGTAGCAAAAGAATGAGAACACTCCAAGATACAGTAAAATTTTAGTCTAAAATAGGCAATAAAGAGGAAGGGGGACACACTGACAGGAATTTCTCAATCACTCAGCACCTAAATCTCTCTCTCTTTCTCCATCTGATGGTCCCTAAGTAGACTTAGACGAGGAGGGAGAGGAAAATTCACATTCTACAACACCATTTTAAGTACTTTTCTATCTCCAACTTGATGCTGTCTGTGTACGAATTCACCGTAGAATTCCCAACTCCTCCTTTTGTACAAACCCAGAAGGTGAGATATTTCACAAAAAAACTGGTTCAACTTTTTCAACTGCTTATTGTCATTGTGTGGGGGAGGTAGTAGAAAGGGTTGGGAGAAGGGATGCAGAAGGTGGGGAATGATTCTGAAATCACACAAATCCAAGGAGCTATAATCTCATGTAATTTGAGAACTTTAACTGGGTCCTAATAAAAACTGAATTACAAGAAGCTTCTGAAGACAATTTGGCAAAAGAGAATGAATGTGATATGATTTTTTTTTCATTTTGTTAGTTGATAATGGTATTGTGGTAAGTAGTTAAGTATCCTCCTCTGTGCTAGTGATAGAACCTAGGGCCTTGCACGTGCTAAGTACATGTTCTACCACTGAGCTGCACTCCTGGTCTCATGCCTGGTTTTTACAGGTACATAACAAGTATTGAGAGGTAAAGGACTATGAAGTTTTCTTTAAAGTACTCCAGTAAAAAATAGCTGAAGAGATTATGGCATAAGATGTTAACAACTGAGAAATCTATACAAATAGTATTAGCAATTCTATCATTATTTTAGCTAACAGTTTTAACATTATAGCAGACTCTTTTCTCTGTGTTTGTTATGCTTAATATTTTACACAATAAAATATCTTAGTAATTTAGATTACATTAGTTCCAAAACGTCAGTATCTGTCTTATATTTCCCCCTGGAAATCCAAAGAAGCAACTTATAGTAATGACTGTTTAAAGGTGAAGAATAAGATGGAGGTATACTCCAGTAATACAGCACTTGCCTAGCATGAATGAGGCCCAAGGAACAATAACCAGCACCATATACATACAAAAAGAAGAACAAATCACAAAGTCAAGGAAAAGTATTCTAAGAAGACAAAATCAAGCAAGTAAACAGGGCCATAGCAAAGCAAACACAGTGATTCAGAAATACAGTCAAATGGTGTCATCCCAAGGTTATTCTTCCCAACAAAACACACAGCCCATGAGAGACTGTTGGCAAGCACCAAGAGAAACAATAGTTCCCTGCAATCACCATTATCCATTGCCTCGACGGAGTAAAATAATTATAGGCAGGAGAGGGTTAAACTGTAGCCACTGTACTTTCACCCAATGCCCAAATGTCTGCTCAGCAAAACTAGATGGATTGGTCATTTGTAAAGTTCATCCACTGACTCAAGTCCCCTTCCTGATCCTGTATAACACTCAAAGGAGAAGTGGCTTCTCCATTTTAGTTACCCTCGAAAGCCTAACACAGCCCAGCATGTAGGAGTCTGGAAACAAATACTGACAGTAGATAAGGAAGAAAGGAGAGTTAAAAAGAAAGGAGGGGAATGCAACTGTTAAAAGACAAACTACAGAAAAGCACGTTGAACACTGGACAAATTGTAAGTGAAGCCAATTTTAGAAGCCAAATCACAGCAAAATGATGCATGCAGAGCAAGAAGCTTTGGATTCTTGTCTTTCTTGTTTCAGAACTGTTCCTCAACAGCTAGCAGAACAGTTAATGCAGATACAGAGCAAGCTGTGACCTGAAGAATGGGGCTGGTGGAAGGGTGCATAGAAAAAGCCACATGAGGAACACTTTTCTCAGCTGGACCACACTCCATTCCCAGGAATCAGCCTTATTAGGGTTTTTTTTTCCACCTTAACTTCTATCTTATCTTATATAACCAGTTACTTTCTCATCATGCAGACATTATAGGAAACTTGCAGTTGAGGTTATATTGACCCCACAAGGCTATTTCCTGCCTATGATACTGGAAGGGGTTTTCATACCTTGGAATCTGCTACTTTTTCCAGACCTAACTCTTTGATGACCATGTTAATCCGCTCATTCTTCTCATGGTTCTTCATAGTTGTGGGAAGCCGAAGGGCTGCTGAGAACTGTAAGTTTTCTCTCACTGTCAGGGTGCCCATCACAACGTCATCCTGAAGGCAAGGTGGCATTTTAGTGAGGTATGCCCATCATTTTCTATGGGCATCATTTTCTATCTTTTCTATGCCCATCATTTGAGTATACATAGTTCAATCCACACAAGAAATACATCCAAGATAAAATCCTGGCTCCTGGCGAACTGTCCACTCTCCTAAGATGCAGTAGCTGCACATACAGACACCTGCAAATCTCAATAGCATCAGTGTCGTCACCCGGCTCTCTACCCAAACAGGACACATGTAATACAATGACTGCTACGGGACACTTCAAGGCTGCCTGGTAGAGGATTTGGCAAAGACATCTACAATGGGAAGAAAGAAGGTGAGGGAAGGGTAAACCTTGTTTGTAATTCTATAGCAGCCAGAACTGACACCACTGCCCTGCAAGGGTCATATTCCAGGTCCCCTCTGTCTTTCCCTTTAACATCACCCCCAATGTTATGGAAGATTATGAAAATATGCAAATATGTTGATCCTATGAGCATGATATACATTCAATTAAAAGCAAACTAAACCATAAGCAAATACACTTGCACGTACAGTGCCCCAATTCACTTATACTCACTTGAACCACATAGCCTGAAGTACATTTGAAATTGGCAGGTTGAGGTGCACCATTTATCAGAACATCTCCAGATAATCCTCGTGGATCTTTCCTTGCTGCTAAGACATCTAATAACCTGTAAAGAACATGTACATTATGCTATGAGGATATTCTTTCCTTCTACAAAGGCCATATTGTTTAGATGCTCTAAATGCAAATCCTGCTAATGTTCAAACTTAACTAGTTGATAAATTTATATTTTAAAAGAAAATTTATAGGCTGAGCATGGTGGCATATACCTTTCATACCAGCACTCAGGAGGCAAGGGCAACCTAGTCTACATAATGAGTTCCAGGCTGGCCAGGGCTACATAGTTGATATCATGTCTCAAAATCAAACAAGGAAAACAAAACAAAAACCAGGTTTACATGTTCTAAATTCTCAGCTTCCTTTTCATTATGTGCTAAACAAAACTCAAAATACAAAAGGAAGAAAACATTGCCTTAAATAGCAAGACCTCCTCAAATGACCTTCTTGGTCAATGGACCTTGGAGATCACAACCTGGACAACATGCTGCTTAACTAGTATTCGTGACTTCGATTATACTTTCTCTACATGCCTTCATTTTTAATATTACATCATTCTTTTACCTCCTCCCTAATATATAATATGATCTACCAGTATATACAAATCACTTCGTCATGTGCTACTACTAAAGCTGACCCAATAAGTCTTTCTGGTCCTTAGGACAAAACCATGAGATAGTTCAACCCCATTTTACCCACAGCACCTAAGGCCAGACCAGACACACACTGCAAATAATCAGCCAACACTTGTGTATGTAAATGGAATATTTAATGAACAGAAAAGGCTTATTTATATGTACGTTATACTCACGAAGACTTGCCTCCGCCTGTGGGTCCAAGAATGGCATTGAGGCCAGGTTTCATGATTCCACTAGAAGCAAAATCATATTATTTTAATGTTGTATTTTACAGTAAACTTTTTGAACTTACCTTCTGCACTTAACACACTAATAAAGGAGGGTGAAATTGCAAACCTCTTAGAGATAAAGAATCACTGATGTTTGAAGTGTAATCTAAAGGCAATCTACCACCAGACCCTATGAAAAACAGTCCCACCCTTCTAAATTCCTTTCTTTTACTATTGTTTTGTAACTTGCTCTTGAAACAATGTAACCTTTTGAAAATGGCATAGCCAATGTCCCAGGTTCCTTGATGTTGAGTTGAGGATAGGACTCAGTGGTAGAGCCCATGCTTGTCATGCATGAGGCCCTGGACTCAATCCCAGCAATAGCAATTTACGTTTTTCTAAGTAAGAAAGATTCTAATATAAGACTCTTAAAATAACAGATTCTGGAAACATGGAAGGAAGATTCTCAAAGACTCTGCATTCCTATTACACCCTTTAAAACAACATAAAGTCCATAATAGTTTTTGAGTAAAACTAATGATTAGTATCTTTAAATTGTCCACTTCCTACCTAGCCAGGTTCAGAACAATCAACACTTGTAGAATACCAGTGAGTGATGTTCGCATTACTAAAATCTAATCAGATTAAAAAGTCAAAGTATCTTAAATAGAAGTTCCAGTGTTAGGATGAAGCATCACCAGTACTTAACACTAAAGTAAAACGTGTCAGGTAGGCAAGATGCCTCCGCAGGCCAAACACTGGCTCTGCAAGTCTCAAGACCAGAGTTTGAGCCCCAGAAGCCACAGTGGAAGGAGAGAACTGACTCCTCGAAGTTGTCCTCTGACCTCCATGTTCACCTGGTGTCTGTGTCTGTCTGTCTGTCTGTCTGTCTGTCTGTCTGTCTGTCTCTCTCTCTCTCTCTAAACACACACACACACACACACACACACACACACACACACACACTCTCTCTCTCTCTCTCTCTCTCTCTCTAACAAAAAATTTGAAACAATGAAAAAAGTGTTACTGACTCAAGGGGGAAACACATACTCTTGGAAGAAGTGGCCACCTTCACTGTGAAGTGTTTAATAACGACTTACACAATACACAGCCATCTCTTTCAACAAACTAAAGGGATATTTAGACCGACTAAGATGGAAAAATTACAGCCATGTTGACTGGGATGAGATCCAAGAAAGCATGAACTTTACCCTAAAGGTGACAAGTAGGGTGGTTGAAGAAAAGGAACAAGAGAAAGGAGAATTAAGGGCGGGCCCGTTACAGCTGCACAGGAATGGGGAAGAGAGCCCACGCTGGCCTGCCCAATACGCTGGGGTCATGTTCAGCCCCTAGAACTGGTAAGTAGGTCAAGATGTATTCCACAGAGAACACAGCATCTATTCCAAGTGGAAAGTCAAAACTGCCAACTATTTCATTTAGATGATGACTCGAAATATCTTCCTTATGATTATACACTGTCATGAGCAATAAACTCTCTAGTGCACCTGTCTCACTGTGCTTAAAGACAAGAGGAACTCACCACTCATTGTTATACCTCATGTATCACAATTATTACATTTTGCTTTGCTTGTTAACTGATGTACTTCTCAGTGAAATATCAGACAAATATAATAACAGGTCATTAAGCCTCATTCAAGTTGTAACACAGAACAATCTTATTCTTTTATTGTGTTACCCCTCCAACATGCTTGTCCAACATACAAATGCAGAGATGCCTGGGTAACCTTTCAGTGTGCATCTATTTATACCTCTTGATGTGTCTCCTTTATCAATAGTTACCTAGCAACTGCTTCAAAAATGAACAGAACCTTTTATTCAGTCAGTCTTTACTGCCACCAAACCCTTTCAGTATTTAAAAATACATACATACACAAAGACTAAGAAATCCAGAATGATTTAAACTGTAGGAGATGAATTAAGCCAAGAAAACAAGCAGATAAACAAATGAAACAATGAAGTCTGGGTCCTCCTGAATCAGCACACTATAGCCGGTCACCTACTCCCTGCTTTCATCAGTAGTGTGACCTGGATGTAACTATGCTTTCAGAGTGGTATCAGCCTCATGCCATAAAGCAGAGCTCAGTTACAAGATTGCTGGATGGCTCATAAAGCGCAAGATATTTATGACCTGCCCCTTTATAGAAAGTGTATGCTGATGACCTCTGTTCTGCTGTGACCTACCATTTCCTAACTTCCCCACCCTACCCTTCACCCTTCTGTCACCCATCTCAGCCATTCCCTACTCCTATTTATTGCTTTACAGCCTTTGCGTGTGTGGTCCTCCTTCATTAATATGTCAGATGCCTCCAGTAAAAACTGTGACACATGAAGACTTTGCTCTCTGAATGCATAAAATGAAATTTCCTTGAAGGAGCTCTGTCATTTTTATTGCATTTTAGTGGACAACAGTCAATCCTTCCGTCCTATTTTGTTTACAGACAAAGACTGTGAATGTCAGTTTTGAAGGAGGGGCATTTTCCTACTCACAGACATGCATGCCCACACACACACATGCCCACACTCACACACACACTCACACACGCACACGCTCACACACACACTTGCACACACTCACACACACACATTCACACACACACACACACACACACACACACACACACATTCAATTCTGATGCAGCCATTCCTCCTCAGAGCAAGTCACTTCAGTTACATCTTTTTCATCCTCTGTCACAGCAGAAATTAACACAGTGAAAATACTCCAGTTTCTGAATTCCTAATTAAAATATAAAGTCTCTGAGAACAGCAAAAAAAAATCTATATAACACGAAGAACCTAGCAGACATTCAAAAATTACTGAATAAAGGACTCTATGTTTTCCTTATTAAGGCTTTTGTTTGAGACAGTTGTTCACACTATAGCCCAGGCTAGCCTAGAACTCACTATGTAGCTCTGACTGGTCTTCAACACACACAAATCTCCCTTTCTCAGCCTCCTGACTGGTAAGATTACAGCTTGGAACTTCTAAGAAAGTCATTTTTTTTAATAAAATAAAATAAACCAAGCAAGGAATTAAGATAACCTTACTAGTAAATATCATCTTTATGTTAAACTGAGTGCTTAATTAATAAATAAGAAATCAGAAACCACTTAGTGAAAATAAGTAACTGTCCACAAAACTTAAATTTCATATTCTCATTTGTTATTTTTTTAATCAAATAATGTATTAATCCTTTCTACTAGAGGGATGTGGTGGCACATCTCTAATCCCAGAACCTGGGACAGAGACAAGACCAGGAATTCAAGCCATTCTTGGTTTCATGGTGAGTTTGAGGTTAAGTAATGGGATTCATTAAATCTTGTTTCAAAATGCTAAAATGCAACATTAACAACAACAACAACAACAACAACTCCCTTATGGCTTCTGTTAGACTTCTTCTTTTCTTCCCTCTCTCAGCAGGAAGATGACATAAATTCTACACAGCCAACACTAACATGAGCTTCAAAGAGGGAGGGAAACAGAGAAGAGATAGCCACAAGCTAGACAGATAATTATGACTGACGGAATAAGAAAATCTGAGCCGATCAGTAAGTGGAAAGAGATAGCCACAGCCAAACAGATTATTACTTATATGACTGATGGAATAAGAAAATCTGAGCTGACCAGTAAGTCCATTAACACTAATGAAGACGGGAGAAGTAGCTTGTAGTAGAACACATGTCCGCCCGGCATGTCCAAGGCCCTGGGTTTAATCCCCCAGATAGAAGGGAGAAAGGAAAAGAATGACAGCTAAATTTTATACATCTTGAGAGGAAAGAAAACATGTGAATGCAGAACAAATGTAAAGTATTAGATTACAATCGATGCATTAATGAGGAAGTATGTGTAATCCACATATAGATTAGAATTGATACATTAATGAGGAATTGTGTTATCTATACATAGATTATAACTGATACATTAATGAGGAATTGTGTTATCTATACATAGATTATAATTGATATATTAATGAGGGATTATGTGTCATCTACATACAGAGAGCTACAGAAAGGCACAGTTAGGAAAGTCCTTGTATGGATGAGAGTAGATGTCCATTAACTGCTCCTTCACCAGAGCTTCACCCACTACTTAGTTCCCTCTCATTCTACCTACCAAGACCTATACGCATCTGAACCTTCAAACAATGGTATGTGCATGTCTACATGTGTCTATACAAGCACACATCTATTACCCAGTTCTTCCCATTCAGAAAGCACAGAGGTATATTGTAACAGCAAAGAGAATGTTGAGGACCCAGATCCCAGGTGTAAAGACCATTTTCTACAAAAATGAACGTCAGCTGAGTCCAGGTCACAGGAAGCATAAATAATCAGTAATTCTGGAACTTCCTCCAGTACCAAAGAAATACTAAAAATTTACTTACAAAGTAGTAAAGGAGAAGTGGAAATTATCCTGAAGGTGTTCTGCAAGCAAATTGGGAACAAAAGGAGTTCCCACACAAATGATGATGCATTATTGCTGAAGGCTAGTGAAGAAAACAGAAATCCAGGAGTATATCCAGTTGTGCTGGTAACTCTTCTGTGGCTTCGATATAATACCATGACCAAACGCAACTTAAGAGTAGACGCACACCGAAAATCCCAGCACTCGGGAGGCAGAGGCAGGTGGATCTCTGTGAGTTCAAGGCCAGCCTGGTCTCCAAAGCGAGTTCCAGGAAAGGTGCAAAGTTACACAGAGAAACCCTGTCTCGAAAAACCAAAAAAAAAAAAAAAAAAAAGAGTAGAGCTTTTTGACTTAAGAGGGCCAGATGTCCACAGCATCTGGGAAGGCACACAGGCAGAAGTGGAAAACTGAGCTCACATCTCAACCACTTACAGGAAACAGAGAATGTACGAAGTGAGGTAAGACTATAAACCCTTAAAGCCAGTCTACTTCTCCCAACAATGCCCCGCTCCTAAAGGTTCCAGAACCTCTCCAAACAGTGCCACAACTGGGGACCAAGTGTTCAGATCCATGAGCCTATGGGGAACATCTCTTATTCAAGCCACCACAGGAAATGGAAGAGAGATGCTGCAGCTTTTCCCAAGTGAACTGCAAACTATGAGATGGTGAACAGGGAAAATAACTCTCTGGCCATTATCACAGTGGTAGCCGGACCTAGACAGGTGTCATCATAGAGATGGCAACTCATAAGAAGTTCATGTTTGGTGAGGAATTAGGGTTCTGGAAGAATGTCAGGAGACTCTGCCACATAGTACCAATCAAGTCCAAACAGTCAAACTGTGACATTATGGTACAACTTGACAGAGAGTAACATCACCAGGTAATCAATTTTAATATCCCAAGTAGATAGAACACCATGTTGGATGAAACAGAAACATCAGGTTGGAGAAGAATAGAACCACAGGATGTGGCAGCTGGTCAACTATGAGGAATCTTCAGAGGCATGACTGCCCTTGTCATGAGATTACAGTTCCCCCTGCCTCCTGCTGGCCAACTGAATGATTACATTGGAGAAGGTCCGTCCTTCCAGAAAGCTTACACTAGAGGAATTGGAGATACGAGAGTGCCGAGTGGATAGTCTAGTTTTAAAAAGGTCCCCCAAACCACCAATCACAGTGGGTTCCCAAAGAGAAGGATGGCACCAAAGTCAGTGAAACATTAATAGAGAAACCGGGTGGACTGTCATTCCTACACGTTTAATTCTGAAATTATTTCAAAATAATTTGTTTAACAATCTTCACAAGAGTATAATGAATCTCCCCCCACCCAACCAATTATATAACAGACACATGCACTGGGATGGTGATCTCTTCCAGAGATCTTCAGCACCGGGAAAGCTCAGGTGTCAGTTATGGAGACAAAGGAAGAAAAAGGCTGTACACCATGGAGAAAAATCTTTAGCATTCTCATGGACAGATTTTGCTTTGTTTTCTTCTCATACAAGATCCAAAGAAAATTTGATTCTCATCAGCTTTATTGGAATATAATAACCATTTTTAATGGTGATGCTACTATCAAACACAAATAAAAAAAATAAAGTAGTAAAAGCAATCCTTTCTGCACTACAGAGACTCTAACAGAGGAAAGGTTAGAAACCCTGCAAGCAAAGGAATGACCTTTCTCATGCAAACCCAAACCAGATGTGAGTGAGCAAGAATACAATCCTAGCTGTCCCTTTAACTATACAAATTGAACTAAAAATAAGAAAAAACAAGATTTGCTTCTACTTTAGTAGTCAAGGGGATACTAAGACAATTGCTTCCTCCTTTGCTAATGTGCCTGCCATTCCACCACAAGCACACTGTGAAGCCTGGAACACATGATACACTCAGTGTGTATCCAGTCATTACCTGCTTAAAGAGAATCACAGGGGACTGACAGAATGGGTCAGTGAGAGAACACTTGGGTAGCATACACAAAGTTCTAGGCATAATCCTCAAAATTATAACACACATACACACACTCACAGAGTACCATCTCACAGTATGTATTGTACATTTATTAAAACAGTCCTTATTCTAATAATATCATCTTTATTTTTCAATATAAATGTGAAGTGACCAGTGGTGTGTGTGTGTGTGTGTGTGTGTGTGTGTGTGTGTGTGTGTGTGTGTGTGTTGGGGGTACTGGGTTTTGAACCCATAGCCTTGCATATATATGATAGACAAGCCACCTACCACTAAGCTACATCCTAACTCTTACATTATTATACTTCAAAAAAGATTATCAGTTTTTCATAAGTCAGTTCTGCCTATGCATGAATGATAACAGCTTTGCACTCAGAAGATCTCTCCTTTTTTTCTCTTAGTTAGGATTCACTAACATAAGAAAGAACAACAAAGGAAGGATGACAGCAAGTTTGGCCCCATGGATAGTTGTAATTCTGCAATGCTCCTGGCCTCAGGCCAACCAGTCTCATGACCTTATTTTCTGCCACCTACATCTGAAAATTCTCTCCCATATTTTATCATTTTCATGCTTTCTGGAGGAAGCAGGTTGGTATTAACAGAAAGAAAATGTGTGTGTGTGTGTGTGTGTGTGTGTGTGTGTGTGTGTGTGTGTGTGTGT